TGTTACTTGAGGGTATAGAGTGTTGAGTTTTGAGGGTATAGAGTGTTGAGTTTTGAGGGTATAGAGTGTTGAGTTTTGCGGGTATAGTGTGTTGAGTTTTGAGGGTATAGAGTGTTGAGTTTTGAGGGTATAGTGCGTTGAGTTTTGAGGGTATAGAGTGTTGAGTTTTGAGGGTATAGAGTGTTGAGTTTTGAGGGTATAGAGTGTTGAGTTTTGAGGGTATAGAGTGTTGAGTTTTGAGGGTATAGAGTGTTGAGTTTTGAGGGTATAGAGTGTTGAGTTTTGAGGGTATAGAGTGTTGAGTTTTGAGGGTATAGAGTGTTGAGTTTTGAGGGTATAGAGTGTTGAGTTTTGAGGGTATAGAGTGTTGAGTTTTGAGGGTATAGAGTGTTGAGTTTTGAGGGTATAGAGTGTTGAGTTTTGAGGGTATAGTGTGTTGAGTATTGAGGGTATAGAGTGTTGAGTTTTGAGGGTATAGAGTGTTGAGTTTTGAGGGTATAGAGTGTTGAGTTTTGAGGGTATAGAGTGTTGAGTTTTGATTTGAGGATATTGAGATTCAAAAAATAAATTTTTCACCTAAAACTATCGGGGTTTAAGAAATTGGGGTACCGAAGAATCAGGGTATTGTAAGGGTATCCGGTACCGAAGAATCATACGTTTGTAAATGTTTGGATTTACGATGAAACAGATTTTATTCAAGGGTATCGGGGGCTGAGGAGAAAATTGTCTGAGAACGAATCGGGCTTAAGGTAAGGGTCTAGTTTTTCAAGAATACTGTAACCTGTCGGGAATAAATAAAACCGGGTTTGACGTGAGGGTGTTAAGTATGGAGAAACCAGTTAGGAGTCCAGATAACGAGAGATCTGTTTTCGTAAGATTATCTGAAAACGAATAAAGAAGTACTACGTAAATGTATCACAGTGCACAAGTACCTGTAAATTGATCGCGTGATCACTATAGTTATACAGTTTAAAAAGCGTCAAAATAAAAAGTTTAAAAGTTGTCAATAGATGTATTTAAATCGTTACATGGCTGATAAATGATGTATTTATCACCAGCACACAAGAGTGTCGTGACTATGATGGTTGGCTGTTTAGGAACTGACAAAAGCTTCACACCTGACTGAACGAGAAGATGATCGTTGTGAACTCCCTAGAGTCGTGCGTTAGGAGTTGAAATTGTCAATCGGTGTTAGCATGGAATCTCCGGAGGTTTATATTTGATACATTACTTATTCTCGTTCCCTGACACCTCTTATTATAGCTGATAATTAGCAATCAGGGAATACACAAACCCTGTCTATTCCTTGTCACTAAATAGTTCTTCAGTTTGACAATTGAGGTCGAAAGTTCAGATGACCTCTTGTGTTTAAAACCAACAGCATGAGCGAAGCAGAGACTCAACTATCATAGGGCCAGGTTGAAAGTCCACGGGCCCCCAACTTTAAGGGTGCTCCAGACAAAAAGGAAGGAATGCATAAATGTTTAAAAAATTTCCCGGGAGAAGGACCCCAACCAACCTAAGTTCACGGGTCCCACCCATCTAGTTGAGTCACAGGAGAAAAGCCACGTTAGGAAACAAACTCTGTAGACCTGTGACACGGTGGTGGAGCCAAAGGGGAGAGGGGGAGGGGATCAAAGGGGGTCAGAGGGGACATCCCCGAAAGCAAGTTTTTCAGGAAAAAATCTCATAACTAGGTTAGAAATTCGGGCAACTTACATGGAAACATGCTCCAGACTATGGTTCACCAATTTCTAGGGATGATTTGGACCTTGAATATATGTAAATAGTCTTCAGGACTAGTAGAACTGCATGGAAATCGCATAATCCCTTCAAATATATCAGAAATAAGGTAAGGGCTACTATTCTCGAAAAGATCTTAGCGCTAAAACATCCTAGAAACATTGTTAAAAGATAAGAGCGTAGGACATCATAGCGTTAAGATCGTTTCGAGAATACGCGGCAAGGTTTTTCACCAAATATGTTAATCAACACTTTAACAAAAGTTTTGGTAGCTTTGAGGTGTTATAATCATGTTCTCATGACTTCAATAAATACGATTTTTACAATATAGATATAAAGTATTTCAACAACAGACCACTTATATAGTTATAAAGTATTTCAACAACAGACCACTTATATGGGTTTGTTGTTGGTTGATCAGATTTATGTCGAAACTGAAAACTAAAATTGAATTGGTTTTGAAGGAAGTTATAAAGTTACATTTTATTAGGAGTAATTTACAATATTATAGGGAGATAAACACAGAACCGCCATCATTTAGAAATGGGTTGTAAGTGATAAATGTATATAAATTGGTTTACTAAGAAATGTTATTCTCTCAGGAGATTTCAATCTGGCTAATAAAGTTCCCAGTCTAAAAATCAAACTTGTGTTCTTATATCATATTTCAGTATCTGCGGTCAGTTCTCATTACCGTCCTGTTACCATTAACACAATGGTCTTAACACAATGGTGGTTCTGCGAATCATTAGGACCGAGTAGGGGCCACAGTATTTTCTAACCGTTTCAGCCTAATATTTTAAGGGGCTTGACACCCCTCTATAGAAAGGTTTCAAACAATAGTGATCTTGATTCTGGTTTGGCCACTTGTTTCTGTTACTACAGGAACCACAAAGAACGTCGGAGTTGAAATTTTAATGGTGTAAATAATGGTGCCATAACATTGTTTGCCCTTGTTGTCGTTTTGGTCGGACCCTGTGTTTGTGTTTTAATATTGTCAAGTTCTTCTGGCATTTCAGGACGATTTACAAATGGTAATGATGCAAAAATAAGCTTTAAATATCGTTCCCTGTTGTTTGCTCTTGATTGCGTTTTGATCGTTAGTGATCCTCGTATTCATACAAAGGTTAAAAAACGTATGAAATCCATAATGCGTTATATATATTCACAGTAATTATACCATGGATTTCAATAATCACATTTGATCAGAGTTGATCAGAATGTCTAAACGTGGAATTAACCTGCACACATTTTTATTTGACTCTTTACAGAATTCATTGGTATTAGCCTGAAATATCTTGTTATTTATTCAAATCCTATAATATTAACGGAATATAAGACAAGATTTTCTCCAGGATGATTGGGTCATATATAATTAAGCCAATATATGATTGCTATTAAAGGGAGCTTACTCGAGCCGGTGTTTAATAATCGACAACGATATCCAAGATCTTTAGTTTCCGCAGGGTTAATGTAAAGATTTGTTATTAAAGATGAAAGGGCTGTCTAAGGGTTAATATAATGATATATTATAAAAGATGAAAGGGCGTAAAGAGGGTTAATAAAGGTGAGTGGTAATTTCTTGCTGTAAGACATCCGTCGGTGACCTTTGACCTATGGAATGATAATTCTATATTCTATATGAATAGAAACATTAAAGGGAGATTACCCATCATGAGAATCGCCTCATAAATTAATGTCTTAATAAGTCAAATCAAGTTGAAGCCGCTTCTCTTTTTTCTTTTAATATTAATTTGAA